TTCTCCAGACCCCTCACCAGCCTCGTTGCCCTTCTCTGGACAGGCCCCAACATCTCAATGTCCTTCTTGTAGTGAGGGGCCAAAAACTGAACACAGTATTCGAGGTGCGGCCTCACCAGTGCCGAGTACAGGGGCACGATCACTTCCCTGCTCCTGCTGGCCACACTATTTCTGATACAGGCCAGGATGCCATTGGCCTTCTTGGCCGCCTGGGCACACTGCCGGCTCATGTTCAAAAGAACCATGTCCTTTTCCGCCAGGCAGCTTTCCAGCCACTCTTCCCCAAGCCTGTAGCGCTGCATGGGGTTGTTGTGGCCAAAGTGCAGGACCCGGCACTTGGCCTTGTTGAATCTCATACAGTTGGCCTTGGCCCATCGATCCAGCCTGTCCAGGTCCCTCTGCAGAGCCTTCCTACCCTCCAGCAGATCAACACTGCCGCCCAACTTGGTGTCGTCTGCAAACTTCCTGAGGGTGCACTCGATCCCCTCATCCAGATCATTGATAAAGATATTGACATACATTAGGTATTGACAAAGACATACATAACATGCTAGATTGCTGAATTTTATTTTTCAGGGCAGACATTCCATACTGCCACATCAACAGGTTGTAAATCCATGTTTAAAGTCCAATTCTTAATGCCTAAAAAATGTGATTATAACTCAAATAAACCTCACTTTGCATTTAACACATTTAAGCAGCCAAAACAGGACTTGACATGGCATGATCACAAATATATTAATACAAAGTACAGAACCGACATATATACAGAATATTTGCAAAATATTTACCTTTGTAAAAGGAAAATAGCAGCAAATAAAAATCTAATCTTAAAAAAGCTTCAGCCACATTGCTACATTACTAATTTGGAAAAAGCCTCGAAGTTTGAAGCTGGTAAGAAGAGGACAACAGGAAGCAGCAGAGAGCAGCAACTGTTACTAGACAGTAACTGAGACAGAACAGTTATGGTCTAACATATGTTTGACTGAACATCGGCTAAAGAATTGACACCATTAAAAAGCAGTGAATCAGTAGCATACTAATTTCCTGCTTATTGAAAGTTATGGAAAAGCTTAAAAACTCCAGCTAGTAGTTAAATACAGTTTCTATTTCTTATCTTAATGGAATAAATTGTCAGCTTAAAAATGCATGAAAATACTTTTATCTATTACAGTTTTGTTCAGTGAGCAGAGAAAAATTCTCATATAATTGAGAACAATGTCCCTGAAACTATGTGCAAGTGCTTCAATAAATCTAGCAACCATCTAGTATGATTTCCCTTATCCAACGCATTATAAAAATAATCCTGGCCATGCTTCACACGTCATACTAGGCTTTCTCCTGACCTGAGCAGTTGAGGACATAAAAATGGGAAGCATGTTAGCCTTCAGAGAAAGTTATCACACCAAACAGAGCAGTGAGGTTAGAACAGTGATTATAAAGCTGGCTGGCCGCAGAGGCCTGAATTTTTGCTATCATCTAAGCTGATGCTACAGCTATTAAAAAGACAATGTTCACAGAAAATTATAAGGAACTGTCATTTAGTGGCTGCAAAAACTTCATCATGGTACTAACAATATGATGAGGTCCCAAGAGGAATGGGTCCTGGGGCTAAGAGATACATAAGTGAGACTAGCAACACTGGAGTGGGAAAAATAGTTATACTGAACTGGAAAAACCTGCAGATATTGCTGCTAGTTCAATATGTTGTGTGACTTCAGCAGAGAAGGCCACATCAAGCATCCAGAGTCAGCATTGCCAACATCCCAGAAAGCTAGCTGACCGAGATAGTCTACCTCTGTGTAGAGCTTTCTGTAACGGGTAAGTACTGGACAACTTCCCTATGGGCTCCAAGCATGGGACAGCAATGGTCAATAGTTCTGTTCATCTTGAACTTAAATGCATTTTAATGGGAGCTCAAGTGAATGATTTTTTGCCTGTGGCATGATTTTCCTTGTGTGAGATACTGCCTCCAGAATTAACCCTTCCAGTTTTTCAGAATGAATAGGTATTCCGCTTCTCATTTTTATATTATCTTTTTAAAAAAAAACTTCCTAAACAATCAAGAAGAGGAAGGAGAGAGATTAGGATAGGCAGGAGGCAGAACTGAGTAAGATCCTCATAGGTGTTAAAGATTCATTGGTCTCAAGGACTACAGAAAAAAGCCAAGGGAGTGAAGGAAAAGGGAAGCTGTTTGTGATTCAGTGATGGCCTCATTTTCTGTCACAAGGTACACTTAATAGTACACCACAGAGAAAATAGGCAAGGACTTTATGTACTGAAAGCCCTGCATCATCTTTGAGATATTTACAGAGTTACAGAAGGCAAGTGGTTGAAGGCTTCCATCCAGAATATAGTTTGCTTCTTGCTGAACTTGCATAGTTTCACATTATTTTAATGAGTACAAAGCAGAGGCTTGGAAGCCTAAGGGAATGAAAAGCTTCATGAATCCTTGCAGACTTTCCAATCCTCAATGGAAAAGTTCTAAAGGCTGCTCTGTAACCTCTCTGGATATCCCAGTCTCCCAGGCTCTGAAACTATATGCTGCTTAAAATAACTTCTTATGATACCCACAATCTCACTGATGCTTTCATTCTACAGACACTTCTCAGCAAACAGTGACACCTTACCCTGCTCAGATATTCAGAGGTTGGCAAACCAGCACTTAATACTAGATATGGCTAAACAGCAATTAGTAAGCGAAGGACAAATACTAGTAATGACTTCTACCATGTTACCTTAAACCTGTAAGAGATACAGTTAAGGTACTTTGATAATGTACTACAAATGTGCGGGTAAAAAAATACCATGCATTAAATTTAACATACAATACGTTAATGGTTCATGTCCTAGCAAAACTTTATTTTAACGAGTCTGTTTTAACAAAGGAGACACAGAAAATATGGTAATTTTAAAATGGACCAGCTAGCATTGCTATATCAATTACAGCTTTAAATATATCTATCCCAGTTAAGATATCTTGTTTGGAAGATAAGTGATCCAGTTCTAGAGAACATTCTTTTTAGAAGTTATTTAGCACAGCACTATTTTTCTTTATAGTGCCATTTTCTAATTATTCTCTCAGAAGTAAAGCGTACATCAGGATACTGATTCAAACAGCTGTTATTTCCATGCCACTTCTATATACACATGCTATAAGCAGCAGATATATACAAATATGAAGTTACTCAAAGAGGTTTATTTTCTTCCACATCACCATGTGTTCAACAGTGTATGACATGGAAACAAGCTGTTTAATAAGGACCAATTCCTTTGGAAGCATTGTGAAATAACCACTTATTTGCAGTAGCCACCTTGAATAGTCAAGTCAGGTATAGCCAGGGAACATTTAGATACATTGTTCAAGTACTATTGTTCAAATAGTGTGGCCAGCAAGAGTAGGGAAGTGATTGTCCCCCTGTACTCGGCACTGGTGAGGCCGCACCTCCAATACTGTGTTCAGTTTTGGGCCCCTCACTACAAGAAGGACGTCGAGGTGCTGGAGCGTGTCCAGAGAAGGGCAACGAGGCTGGTGAGGGGTCTGGAGAACAAGTCTTATGAGGAGCGGCTGAGGGAACTGGGGTTGTTTAGGCTGGAGCAAGGGAGGCTGAGGGGAGACCTCATCGCTCTCTACAACTACCTAAAAGGAGGTTGTGGCGAGGTGGGTGTCGGTCTCTTCTCCCAAGTAACTAGCAATAGGACAAGAGGAAATGGCCTCAAGTTGCACCAGGGGAGGGTTAGATTGGACATGAGGAAAAATGTCTTTACTGAAAGAGTGGTTAAACATTGGACCAGGCTGCCCCGGGAAGTGGTTGAGGCACCATCCCTGGAAGTATTTAAAAGACGTGTAGATGCAGCGCTTAGGGACATGGTTTAGTGGGCATGGTGGTGTTGGGTTGACAGTTGGACTCGATGATCTTAGACGTCTTTTCCAACCTTAATGATTCTATGATTCTACTAGTTCTCATAACATTAATGCCTTCTGAATTGTTCAGGTATGCGTATAGATGTTTGTACTGACAACATTAAACTTCTTTCTGCATAAAACTGTGTTATATAGAAAATTAGGTTTATGTTCAAAAGGGCAATGGTTGAGATTTGATTTAGAGGGTTGGGGGGGCGAGGTGAAAGAAGAGAGGGAGAAGGTAGGTGGAAGAAAGGTTGAGAGAAAAGCAAAAAATGTCTAAATAGCAAAACCATTTTCTGGAACTCAGGAACTCCTTTTTCACTAGCCTGAATAACAGAGAGGAAGTCCAGACAGATTTGTCTGCGAAGGGGGCAAGCTAAAAGCTTTAAGACATATAAAGCATTAAAAGCACTGTCCTTGAAAATGTTAGTTTTCTATAAGACTAAATCTATTTATGATGATAGTTTTGATTTAATAAGCTTTTTTCTCACTGCTCTGTAAGTTCAGTTTAAATTAAGTTTACCCTAACAATTCATAACTGTCTAATTTTCAGTGATGTAGAATATAAGTATTTTGATATGTTTAATGTTTAATACAATAAAATCAAGATAAATATGTATGGCTTATTGAGATACACTGTACATTGTTAAAGTTTTAGGATCATTTCTGAAGCTTTCATAAAAAAATTTAATTGTCTAATCATTGAACAGTTATATGACTACGAAGATAAGTTTAGGAAATAGTAGAATTTTATTCTCTGTTTTAGTTGAGAATTAAAAATCTACTGACAATACGATTTTTCAGGTTTTTGTAAAGCAGAAACCTAATATAATATGTTTAAGAGGTACATAACTATTTTGCCAAATGCACTGTAAATGTCTTTATGGTAGTACTTATAACCTGAAGTTTTATTAATATGAAACAGTTCAAGTCTGAAAAGGTGATGAGAGATGACCACATTTGCTGTAGATTCTGGGTGCAAGACTCAATTAGGTACTAATTAAAGGGATTCTATTGAGTTCTGAAGTGATACTTATGGTCTTCACTCCAAAATTATACACTTTATGCACAGTATGTCAACAGCTTGACTTACATATTCACCATATGTCTCCTGTGCTGGAGGTGGTGGAAGGGGCCGGTAGCCTGCAGGTGGAGGTACTCCTCTTGCTCTGGGTGCTAGAAGTCCACGGCTACGACTGACTGGTCCTCTACTGGGAGGCACTCCTCTGGGTGCTGGTGCCCCTCTTGGTACTCCTGCTGGTGGTGGAGGCACTCCTCCACGGCCCCTGTGAACATATGGATCACTTACCATTAAATACCACACCCTTGGCCTCCCTTTCAACAGCTCCCTCCCCCACATCATGACAATTTTGCTTTGCTACAGCCAGAAAAAAGTCTAAAAGGTTTATAGTCTGTCATTTTTCTGTATGCTTTAATCCAGTTACACACATTATGCAATAAATACAAACTAGACATGTGATTCAGTGATGAACTTCTCACTATCTTAAGCCATTCTCACATACACAGAAACACCCAAACCAATTTGCTGGAATCAGTCAACTTCACTAGAATTTGACTTATAGTAGGTGAAATCACAATCATAGAATACCATGTTAATTTGAAGCTGTCAAGCTATATCGTACTCAAACCCTGCACAGAGGAATCAGTTGCAACTCCCTTCTGATCCTGTGTAAACTTCTAAATGCAATCCAAAGATCACACTGCACGAAAGAGATTGAGTGGGTCGGAAAAATTACATTTTCTTTTGGTTCTAAAGAGATTTCCAGCTGTTGCAGGAAACATTCAGACATGTAATAAATGTGCAGGGTGATTATAGGATGTAACCTGATGTTCTATATGTATTTAAGAACAATAATTAACAGTATATTTGTTTTTAAAGTTCTGAAAGAATGATAAGCATTAACTTGCATTCCATTACTTTGGACACTTAATATATGGATGAAAAATCTGAGACCTAAACCAGACCAATTTTCAAAAATCTTTGACCCATTTAGAGGTGGCGTTCCCCCCCCCGCCTCCCTATAGTAAAGGGAGAGGCTTAGAGATACAATCTGTGAGAAATTTGCATCATTTATCCTCTTTTAAACAGTATGTCTAAAATATTGCTAATAGACATCTCCTCTTTAAAGGAGATCACTTCACCCCATGGACTATAATTGAGTTTAAATGGCTGCTTTGCAGGCATGTAGACTTGTTTCAAGGAAGTCACACCCTTATTGTATGCTGTAACAGATACACAGAAGAAAACAAACAAGCACAAGCTCTACACTACCTTTCTGCCTATCAAGCCATCATCTAACCCATCTCAAGAATAGTAATTGAGTGAAAATACTCTGTCCTGATTTCAGTAGAAATTTCCAACTTAAACAATATTATAAAGTAAGATCCAGATTTGGCCTTAAGATTTTTCTATCCTATTTCAAATAAGTCATATAATTTCTCATTGGTAAACTTATCAGAAAAAATATAATCATTTTACCACAAATAATTAGTATTTGAAAAACTGCATCACTAAATGAAGAATGCAAAAATGTAAGTACTTGATACAGTCAGGATAGATTTTATTAATTACTAATCTAATTACTGATCAAAACACAGTCACAAAGTATTTTAAACAAGCCTAGAGAGTAAGTGATTTAAAACTGTGCTTATTACTTGGTTTTGGCTAATCTGTAGAATGCCTCCTCAGGACAGGGTACCAGCTGCTTATTTGACTTCATGGTAGTGGGGGCAGGGGTGAGCAGTGAAGTTCCCAGACACAGCCTGCTGAAGTAATATAAAGAAATAGCAAATGTGACACTTTCCAAGTGAAGCCAAAGAAAGGGAAATGAACCTATTGGCATAGACAATAGTCAATACCAAGTAAAAAAAGTCAGTAAAAAGACTCAAGAATCACTAGCCATAACCTTCATGGCATCCTTCAGACAGGGTGCAAGTGAAAGCAGCAGGAAGTGGGACATGCTGAAAAACATGGAAAAACATTTGAGGGAGGGGAAAAAAAGTACAGTTTTTAGAGCCAGCATAGATTTATTCTTGAAGAGTAATTAGAACACCAAATCCACATGATGAGAAGGTCTTTTCTGCATTTCAAAAACAGTTAATAGGATTGGAGTGGTGATGGGTGGGAAATCATGTTTCTCCTATATTAGGAGACCATTTACATGCCTTTTTTTTTTTTAAGAGTTACTGTAGGAAGAACAATCTGAGATGTGTAGTTCTGTATTACACCACTCAGATGGTTACTGCACCAGGCTGGAGGAGACTAGAAAGGTGCACAGATAGGAAACTCAGTAGCAGGAAGAGTTCAATTACCACCATGCAGATTTGAGTCATATCAGGGTATGATGCTAAGAGCAAGTTTTTAGAAACTGTAAATTGTTATTTCATTAAGAAGTTATCAGGGAACTAAATAAGTTTGATTGACATGAACAATGAACAGAAACTGACTCAAAATATTGAGGAACCACTTCAATAGGAACCTTTGCATACCTTTGCAAAAACAACAGATCAGTTCTGGTATTGTTTAATTTGAAAAAGGGCAGCTATATAAATTATGTTTAAAAAAAGATTTAAAAGAGTAAAATGTATATACACAATATGGGAAGACATTTAGAGAAATCCCATGGGAAGTCAGAGCAAATACACAACAATTGTCAAAAAAGAAAAACCTTCAGAAAGGGCAAAAGGAGCTCAGGAAAGCTAGAACAGCAGGGTAAGGAAAGGTATTAAAAGAGGTATCACTTGAAAAGCTGAACCCGTCTCTAACCTCAAAGGACAAATGCTAATAAAACAAGTGTGAAATACTCAGAAAAGCAGGTCAGAGATAATACAAAGAGTTCATAGAAAGCCTAAAAAAAAAAGTCCTTCAAACATCCTGGAATCAGGAAACCTGCCAGAGTGAGGCCAAATCACTAGTGAAGAACGGTAAGATACATATGTATGGATACATTATGGTTGTTGCTACACAATCAAGAAAGACTAGACAAGGTTCTCATGGTAGAGCCTTTCCTTATAGGGAATGCATTGGATGGTGCCACCAACTGTCTTAGACAAATTACAGACCAGAAGGAGCAAACAAAAGTAATTGCACTATCTTTCTATAAACTACAACAGGGGTTCAGATGCCTAGCTCTTTAATCTGTAGCTGAATCCCAACCTGAATGTTAAGGAAAGGAAAATAGCAAAAAAAATTCAAAGCAACAAACTATAAGAGGGGACACTTGCAAGTTAATACACACAGACACATATATAAATGTATATATCCTAACAACATACAAAGTAATAGGTTCTGTGCTTTCACTACCCATAGAACATCTATGAGATGGGCCCAGTGGTGAGGATGGTAAAAAACAAATACAATTTTAGAAAATATAAGAGAACACAAAATTTCATTACCCAACTGTATGTATTCACAGTCCTGTTTCCTAATTTGGAAAGAACATAAAAGAACTGGAAATGTATCAGAAACTATGTCAAAGATGACCAACAGTATAGAACAGCTTACATATAAGGAACAATTAAGTAGGTTAAGGCACTTCATACTACAAATGACAACTGAGGCTTATATGATAGAATCCAATAGAAACATCGAAGGAATGGAGAAGGCTGAGGGGTGACCTCATCACAGTCTACAACTTCCTCAAGGGGGGCAGCAGAGGGGGAGGTGCTGACCTCCTCTCTCTGGTGACCAGCAATAGGACACGAGGAAATGGAATGAAGCTGCATCAGAGCAAGTTCAGGTTGGATATTAAGGAAAAGGTTTTTCACTGAGAGGGTGGTCAGTGGAGCATCTGGACGATGCTCTTAGTCATATGGTTTTGTTTTAGGTAGTCCTGCAAGGAGCAGGGAGTTGAACTCGATGAGCCTTATAGGTCCCATCAAACTTGAGATATTCTAAGGTACATAAGGAATTATTCAGCAGTCATTTCCAATGTAAGAATCAGGAGATATCAACATGTAGGGATAGAATATTAAACCAGATTGCCTGAGCCACTATTGACTGCTCCTATGAAATGCAATCACTGAATGACAGAATGGTTGAGGTTTGAAGGGATTGCTGGAGGTCATCTGATCCAACCTCCTGCTCAAGCAGGGCCACCTAGAACCAGTTGCCCAGGACCATGTCCAGGTAGCTTTTCAATGCCTCCAAGGGTGGAGGCTCCACAAGCTTTCTGGGCAATATGTGCCAGTGTCCTGCCACTGGGCACCACCAAGAAGAGCCTTCTCTAGGCTGAACAGTCCCAGCTCTCAGGCTTTTCTCACAGGAGAGATGCTCCATACCCTTCATCTTTGTGGCCCTTCACTGAACTCCTGCAGTATACGCCCATGTCCTTCTTGTACTGGGGAGTCCAGAAACAGATACAGCACTCCAGGTGTGGTCACACCAATGATGAATAGAGGGGAAGGATCACCTCCCTCAGCCTGCAAGCAACACTAATGCAGCCCAGGATACCTTTAGCCTTCTTTGCAGCAAGTGCACATTGCTGGCTCGTGTTCAACTTGGTGTCCACCCAGGTCCTTTTCTGTCAAGCTGTTTTCCAGCTGGGTGGCCTCCAGCATATATTGGAGCATGGGGTTGTTCTTCCCCAGGTGCAGGACTGCACTTCCCCTTGTTGAGCTTCATGGGGTTCTTATCAGGCCATTTCTCCAGCCTGTTGAGGTCCCTCTGGATGGCAGCATCACCCTCTGCCATATCACCCACTACTCCCAGTTCAGTGCCACCTGCAAACTTGCTGGGGGTACACTCTGCCCTATCATCCAGATCATTAATGAAGTTAAACAGGACTGGACCCAGCATTGACCCCTGGGGTACACTGCTTGTTACTGGCCTCTAGCTGGACTTTGTACCACTGATCACCACCCTCTGGGCCTAGCCATTCAGCCAAATTTCAATACACCTGTCTCATCCAGCCCATACATCAACAGTTTCTCTATGAGGATCTTATGGGAGACAGCCTTCCTGAAGTCACAGCAGACAATATCCACTGCTTTCCCCTCACCTACTAGGCCAGTCACTTCATCATAGAATGCTATCATGTTGATCAAGCATGAATTCCGCTTTGTGAATCCATGTTTACTACTCCTGATGTTGTTGTTTATGTGCCTAGAAATGGTTAGTTGCTCTATCACATTCCCAGGGATCAAGGTGAGGCTGACCAGCCTATAGTTCACCAGGTCCTCCTTGCCATTTTTGAAGGTAGAAGCAACATTTACTTTCCTCCAGTCCTCAGGCACCTCTCCTAGCCTCCACAATTGTTCAAAGATT